ATGTGGTAAAATTGAGAGAAAGTCTATTTATTTCAACAGAAACTACTTTTCCCTGCTTTCCTTTCAAAAATCAATAAGTAATTTCCTATTTCCGCCCTCAAACATCAAAACTCTTAGCAACGAGCAACGGTAGGTGCCAAGAAGTTAGCGTCATCCATTGTTAATTAAAAATAAAAGAGATAGAAGGATTAGTTCTCTAAACCTTCTATTGATAATTTCTATTTAAACTACGGAGAATAATATAAGGCTTATCCTCAGACGCTGGATAACGTCTCCGGACATAACACAACCAACATTTATCGGCAGGCTTCTAGATCTGGGATTCTCACTCAGATTTCTGAAAACTAAATGGTCGAAAATTGTACACGACATAATAATGCACAGACCAAATGTTCCATCGATAATTAATCCATATACAAAATGTTCATATACACCTCGAGGCATATTGACCGAATTTTTGAGTACGAAATGTTGATCAACTCGCGTACTGTTTTAGAAATGCAAGTTCCCAAAATTACTGTGCGCATTCGAAAATGGCAGGTGGAAATAAACATGCAATGCGGGATCATTATAACCACCGAATATCATACAGAGTATATGATTGTTATTTCGAATGTTTTCCAGTCCGACCAATTGAGAATTTTCCGGTATTCCAATCGGATTAGATTTTTCTTTGATATCTAATTTGTGAATAAATATGAATGTGCAGAAGTTTACAGTGGAAATGGAGAAATTATCAAATTAATTGTGTTCAATTTTCGCCCTTTTGGTGATATAAGTTTACAGTCTGCCATTGACAGCACTGACCTCATTGGTAAGTATTTTTTGTTTTTCTGTACGTTACATTTAGTACTATGTCATGTACGGCATGTTTTAAGGAATTACCTGCGTTGATTAACAGGGATTATTTTCACGTATTCATGTCAATTGTGTTACCCTGCAATAATTTGGCGAAAGGTAGGTATTCAATTTACACACGGTTTTTTATTATTTACAGTTACTGTGGTGAATAATGACTGAAGAGTTTCTTATAACGAACACTGCGATAAAAAACCTCCTGGTGATTTTTGTAATGTAATGTTGGCATAGTGCTCTATTATTTGACCCATGCTACACAGATCTAAGTCATTGTTATAAGATCCCCAACTCAATTGGAAAAAGTGACAACATACATTCTAGAATGACTATATATTAAGTGGACAAATTAGTAAGGTGCCCCTATATTCCGCGGTTTATAATTACGTCCAAAAACTCGATATTTCAATATTTTGTATGTTGGTAGTATTCAGCTACCGAAGTAGTAAATAAAAAGGAGGGTAGATGGGTTCCTCATGATCTGAGCCCCGAAAATAAGGGGCGACACTGGAGACGGCACTATCTCTGTTCACTCGATTTAAAAGAAAAGATTTCTTATACAAAATCATTACGGGCGATGAAAAGTGGGTATTATACGACAACCCTAAACACAAAAAATTGTGGGTGAATTCCGGCGAACCATTGACGTCGACTCCGAAACCTAATGTCTATGCGAGAAAAGTGATGCTGAGTATCTGGTGGGATATGAAGGGTGTGATATATTATGAGCTACTTAAACCTAGCCAAACTGTTACTGCGAAGGTTTATCAACAACAGCTTATTCATTTGAATAATGCATTGGAGCAAAAAGGCCATATACTGGCAGCGGAAGTAGACAAGTGATTCTCCAACATGACTAGTTGATTCTACAACTCGACTGCATGTCGCCAAAGCGACTAAGGATATTATCTGTGAATTAGGATGGGAGGTTCTCCCTCAAGCGGCTTACTCGCCTGATCTCGCCCCATTCGACTACCACCTATTTCGGTCACTTCAATACCACCTAGATGATGAGCACTTCAAAACAATCGACAAGGTTCGAAAAAGCATCGATGAATTTATTGAGTCAAAACCGCCAAGTTTCTTTCGCGAAGGAATTCGTCAGTTGCCAGTGAGGTGGAGTAAAGTCATCGAAAATAATGGAGAATATTTCGACCGTTAAATGTCTTTTTGTTTTTTTATAATAAACTCTGATTTTCATGGAAAAAAGCATCTTATTAATTTGTACAACTAATATTATCGCACTATTAATTTGCGTGTGAGAATATTTTATTTTGATAGTTGCAATAAAGACTGCACCTTGGAGAATTTCAAGCTATGATTCATTTTTAGGGTGTCAATATTCGAATTATTGTTAATTTTAATCGCAAACGCGGGTGCCCACTTTCTATTCTATGACAGTGCATTGAATACACTTACACTTATCCTCTGGAACATTTTCGTACGTGTTATGTGTTTCATTTGTTTATTATTCTGATCAATTAATCTTCGGCCTCTGTGTTGCCCAAATTATGTGAAATTGATTCACTTGTTTTCAAACTTCAGCATTTCGAACAGATTGTTTAAGACATAAGACACGAATGTGCAGTATGTGGATTTAAATTTTCTATATGTACATTTCGTCAATATGGCCATGGCTGGCTCATTAAAAAAAATCTAGAATGGAAAATTAAGAGTTTACCAAATCGGTATTCCCTTGACTTTTAAATTATGACATTTAAATTATTCTTGAGAGCCAAATGAAATTGAGGGTCATCTAATCTTGAGGGTTTTATGATCTAGACTGATCCACACAATCAGATGGGCTCAAGGATTGGTCAACTGATTCGCACGGTCAGATGAACTAAAGAGATAAGTGATCAAAAGGGCCACATCATCAAATGCGTCAAATCATCTTGAAGGTCCAATAACCTTTAAAGTAGCTTTGCTATTTATCCCCGTTTCACCCTCCTGACCCTAGTGACCCTTGTATTTGGCCCGTTGGATTATTGCGCTTGGTTTCCCGATGAGACAGTGATTCTAATGAGGATTTGATCCTTGGGATCGGTTGAATTCTTTCCTGTTTGACCCTTATCAAGTCTCAGCGTCTAAAGTTTACCCAATTATTGGTTGAAAGTTGAGATTTCACGAATGGCCATTTGAAGTTCAGTCGACATTTGGCCGTGGAGGGGTCGCCGATCCTTAGCATGTCAATCCACAGCCGCTATTCGTTCGTGAGTGGGTCGCCAAGACTTGGTATGCCAATTCTAGACCGAGGCTTGGCTGATCCAACACCATCGGCAATTCGGCCATCTGCTTTTTTCCATCAGACATATTATCATCAGGAATACCCCAGCTCTTCCCCTTGTTTCGATCTCGATGCTTTTTTCGTTCACTTCTGGTCTCTAGATGTATCCTGGTGTATTTTTTGCCAGGTCCGTACCGAATTTTACGTATTTGCTCTGTACTCTTTCTATCACTTCTTTTCTTTCCTGGTCCTATAACTCTACTCCGTACATAGTAGTCACTTTCTTTGTGTATTTTGCCTGTCAATTAGTAGAGATGAATCATAATCCAAGATATTTAAATTCATTCATCAGTCCAATTTCTGCACTATTGTATAGCCATTTTTCTGTCTTCCGTACCCGTCAGTTTTTGTGCTACTATTTGTTTAGAACAAACGATGCGATCTGTTTCGTTTTTTACAATCTATGTATTTTCTTAATCATTGGCAAAAAATATCACATAACCTAAATAGGTGGTTTTCCGAAAATTCTGATGTTTTTAGAAAAATGACGGAATTGACTGATTGTTGTTACAATCAATAGATTCCGATGTGACTCGAGTCTGATTGAATTTTAATCGAAATCGTCTCAGCCATTCAAATGTATAACGAGGAAGTCCTCGGGAATGGAGTCTTTCCATACGATAGACAATAATTAAATAGATATTAACGGATACACACAATTACAATCAATTATTTACATGTACATGTGAGTGCTGCCGGGCCAAGAATGCCACGACGGGCCTTAGGCAGCCTGTTGCGCGGCAGTGAATCAATAATTCGGCACATGCGCCTTAAATATCGTCTAAATTCCTTGGCTCACGTAATTCAAATACGAAGTTTGTAATTATATTCATTGCAATAATTAACTGAATAATCGACAAATAACTGAATCCTACGGCAGCTCGCTAGATCCCCGAGGACAGGAAAATCATATCGACGCGAAGGGAAAAAGGATATCTCCTGTCACAGCCTCTCCATTGACATCAGGGCAGACATATCTCGGGCTTCTGTGGACATCGGTATTCTCTGAGGAAAGTAAAGTTTCGACTTTCGTTCCCAGGAAGAAACGTTCCACGAGTTTCGTTCCGATTTCTGCTCCTAGCATTGAAACGTTTTAGGACTGTCATTCTCAGATTCGTTGGGGGCGTACCATTCCACGGCGTTCATTCCTTGTTTCTTTCCTGACTTTCTCTGGGAAGAAATCGAACCTGGAACGCATTGCAAGTCCCCGGTATGCGTGTATGTGTGCACACATGACCGAAATTTCGACCCACTATTTCTCTCAAACGAATGTTTCAATCGGAATTTTTCGGTTGGTCATAGATACATTTTCGAGCCACTTAGAATAGATGACATTGCAAACGATTGTCGCAGTCATTTTTTTCTTATTCGCAAGAAAAGTTTTATACAAAAAAAAAACATGAATAACATGAAAAAGAGCATGAAAAATGTCAACTTTTTGAAAACTCAAGGATTATTTTTGAAAAGATGATGAAATTTAATTTTTCTTCACAGAAAATACATTTTTATATAACTGGAGACTGACGGAATCTCAATGAAAATCGCCTCAGCGGTTGTTCATTCATTTGAAGAAACTTTCCGGATTTACATTTATTTTGCTTCCGAATGCTAGCTTGGTAATCGATAGAATTTGTGATTTTCCTATTTTTCTAATAAATGAAGGAAAGGGAATCGGTCGGATAATTATAGCTTTGACTTATAATGACTCATGCCCACGCCAACATAGGCCCAGTGGAAGCGAACGAAATGAGCCACCAAAAACCCCATAGTATATTTTGCCTCTAATATCGAACGGGTTATAAGTTTTTCATCGGTGATTTTCAATTTTCAATTTTTTGTTGTACTTCACTTCAAATACCTTTTCAATGTTGACGTCTTTCTTATCCCTAGCCATTATGATATCTTCCTCAGTTCTCACATAGAACGATGGATGTTTCTCCAGCTCATCTAGTTTGTCCATCATTTTTGAATCTACGTGGTACAGTTCTCCAAGAATTTGCTATAGAATAATAGAAAAATCGAAGAATTATTCAATAACTGTACTTCAAGACGAGGGAGTAAAAATTTTCATTGAGGGGAGACCACAGTGAAACTTGAAAACCTTCGGTTTATTATTATCGTTATTTTACATCGCTTCGACCCGATTGGGGTATGCTGCAATGATGATCAACACTTTTAAATGGTTAGATCTCACCATTCTACCCAGCCGGGTTTTGAACTCGGAACCTTTCGCATGTGAGGCAACGAACTTACTCACTGCGCCAAGCCACCAGGCAATCTTTATATATATCATGGGGTGCTTAAAACAGTAAGAAAATTTTTGAATCCATCTGATTTCGACTCGTATGTCAACGGAAAATATACTTTTCTGTGTCTTTGGCTTTGAAATACAATCGCACTAGAGTTTTCATCCGATCGGAACTTTTTCTTCCGAAATGTTTATTAGATTCTATAGAATAAATCTCGGTTTTTTCATTATTTACGGGGAGATTGCAATCAGTTTTAAAAGTTGCGGGCTATTGGAATGCGATTTCTTATATATTGTAGATCGATTATATCTATTTAAAAATAAATAATTAATGCAAAAAAATTGATTGTTTATTGTTCGTTTGTCCCGTACGGGCTTAAGAATTTTAAAAATAGTCCAGGTCTTCAAATTTTTGAGCTACAGCAGTTTCTTTTTTTTTAACTTTTAAAACAATTATGTGCAATAAAAATTACGAATTAGTTTTTGGAAAGTAAACTTCTACACAGATAATTTCGTGATTTTTTTAATAAAAAATTGCAGCCTCCGTGTAAAATAGCATGAAAAATGTTTCTGAAAAAATTGATAATATATTTTTAACATTTTGAGGATAATTTTTCTGCCTATTTTATATGATTGGCGCAAATTTTTATTTTAAACTCAACGAAATTACCTGTCTAGGAGTTGAGTTTCAAAAAACCTAATCCGTATTAGGTGTATAACTTAATCTTTCCGTTTTCTTTCATTGAGTGCGGTGTCTTCAAAAAATTTAAATATTTATGCGTCCGTTTGCGACTTTGAAGAGTGAACCTTACTGTTTTTAATACGTTATATGTCATGCTTGGAAGAGCTGTGTAACTTCACAAAACAGTAGTATACAAGGTGTCCCGCAACCGACCTTTTTCCTTCGAGGGTATTGAAGAGGGTGCTTTTTGAAGTGGAAAGTTAATAATTGATGAGTAATTAATTATTTAGGGCTGAATTTATTTTATTAATTTGATAATTTGGAATTTATTCATTTTATTTTATTTATTATTATTTTTTTTAATAATTGAATCTTGCTTTTTCTACATACAGCACAGAGGCATGCACTGAGGGAAGGAGGAGGAGAGGGGGTTGAAATTTGAACGAAAAAGGGGGGAGGGTTGCGGAATGAGTCGGAGCCCAAATCATGCCTCCAAAAGGGGGGTGTGTTTTTTTCAATTTTTTGTTCTCACTCGGCACGTATTAAGGTAAATGGAACATTTATGAAGGGGTAGGAGCCACCCCCACACGTATCGGGGAGGTTAAAGTTTTCACACAGTGAGGAGAGGGGGTGGAGAAATGAGTCCGAGCTCAAATCATGTGTCCAAAAGTGGGGTGAGTATTTTTTTCCGCTTTTTGTTCTCAGTTCGCATGGATTAGGGAAAATTGGACATTTGAAGGGGGTGGAAGCCACCCCCGCACTTATCGGGGAGGTCACAATTCTCATACAGTGAGAGGAGGAGGTTGAGGAACGATTCAGGGCCCAAATCATGTGTCCAAAAGGGGGGTGAGCATTTTTTTTCAATTTTTTATTCTCACTCCGCACATATTGAGGTAAATGAAACATTTGTAAGGGGGTGGAAGCCACCCCACACGTATCGGGGAATTTAAAATTTTCATACTTTGAGGGGAGGGGGTTGAGAAATGAGTCCGAGCCCAAATCATGTGTCCAAAAGGGGGGTGAGTATTTTTTTCGCTTTTTGCTCTCAGTTCGCACGGATTAGGGAAAATTGGACATTTCGAGGGAGTGGAAGCCGACCCCGCACTTATCGGGGAGGTCAAAATTCTCATACAATGAGGGGAGAGGGTTGAGGAATGATTCTGGGCCCAAATCATGTGTCCAAAAGGGGGGTGAGTATTTTTCTAACTTCCCGACCCGAAGGGAGGAAGTTATTGTAATGACCCCGAAAATCGAATGTGGAAATTTAAGCATTTCTCCACGTTTCATGACCTTTGGAACCACTTCTGACCCTTTTCAGGTACCTGTCTGTATGTGTGGATGTGTGTATGTGTGTGCGTACGTCTGTGACAAAAATTTTGTGCCACGATTCCTCCTGAACAAACGATGCGATTTGACTTTTTTTTTTTTAATCGCTGTATTTTCATGTGACTTGAACCTGATTAGATTATGGAGACGATCGTCTCAGTGTTTCTCCAGTTTTTTCCAAAAAACATTTGGAAAAAAGTCGAAAATTAGCGTTTTTTTGTAAACGAGACCATTTCTCCGTGCATAACGATGCGATTTCAAATTTTTTTGTTAGAAACGGTGAATCTTGATATAACGCACGGATGGAAGACATTTAATCAGCAGTTCACTAGCTTTTTTCGAAATCGATATACATTCAAGAAACAATTTTAGTTTTCTGATAAATTACATCTTTTCTCGATGCGGAATACGGCGATGTGTGTGCATGGGAGTGTGTGTGAGTGCGAGCATGCGCACGGATTTTTTTTCAATTTTTTGTTCTCACTCCACACGTATTGAGATAAATGAACCATTTGTCTGGAAGTCAAATGGTTCATTTGCCACCCCCGCAGGTACCGGGGAGGTTGAAATTTTCACATAATGAGAGAAAGGGGTTGAGAAATGAGTCTGAGCCCAAATCATGTATCCAAAAGGGGGCTGAGTACTTTTTTTCGCTTTTTGCTTTCACTTCGCACGGATTGAGGCAAATTAACTCTCTAATGCTTTTAGGCCACAAATGGCCACTTGAGGTACGGGAGAAGAGACTGCGCGCTCTTACGGAGAAACGGCGAAATGAGGAGAACTTGAAGAGTATTAGAGGGAAAACATTTTTCCGGGGGTGGAAGCCACCCCCGCAGGTATTGGGTGGGTGGAAATTTTGGCACAATGAAAAAGGGGGTTGTGAAATGAGTCTGAGCTCAAATCATCCCTCCGAAGTCACCCCTATCCATCGACCCACATGAAATCTTCTCACTTTCTCTTGCCTCCAAAATCGTTTGCTATGTCACGTCAAATTTTTGGTGGCCCTGAAAAGGGCCAATTGTGATGGATTTTCATGCTGGCAGTTGCTGGAAATGGCCTCCTCCAGCAGCCACGCAGGCATGAATCCTTCTGAGGACTTCCACCGTAACATACTGGAGCATTTCAGTATCCACGTTGTTTGCGACTGCATGTAGTCGCGCCACTAAGTCCTCCATGATCTCTGGCTCTGACTTNGGGGGTTGAGAAATGAGTCCGAGCCCAAATCATGTGTCCAAAAGGGGGGTGAGTANGGAGTGTGTGTGAGTGCGAGCATGCGCACGGATTTTTTTTCAATTTTTTGTTCTCACTCCACACGTATTGAGATAAATGAACCATTTGTCTGGAAGTCAAATGGTTCATTTGCCACCCCCGCAGGTACCGGGGAGGTTGAAATTTTCACATAATGAGAGAAAGGGGTTGAGAAATGAGTCTGAGCCCAAATCATGTATCCAAAAGGGGGCTGAGTACTTTTTTTCGCTTTTTGCTTTCACTTCGCACGGATTGAGGCAAATTAACTCTCTAATGCTTTTAGGCCACAAATGGCCACTTGAGGTACGGGAGAAGAGACTGCGCGCTCTTACGGAGAAACGGCGAAATGAGGAGAACTTGAAGAGTATTAGAGGGAAAACATTTTTCCGGGGGTGGAAGCCACCCCCGCAGGTATTGGGTGGGTGGAAATTTTGGCACAATGAAAAAGGGGGTTGTGAAATGAGTCTGAGCTCAAATCATCCCTCCGAAGTCACCCCTATCCATCGACCCACATGAAATCTTCTCACTTTCTCTTGCCTCCAAAATCGTTTGCTATGTCACGTCAAATTTTTGGTGGCCCTGAAAAGGGCCAATTGTGATGGATTTTCATGCTGGCAGTTGCTGGAAATGGCCTCCTCCAGCAGCCACGCAGGCATGAATCCTTCTGAGGACTTCCACCGTAACATACTGGAGCATTTCAGTATCCACGTTGTTTGCGACTGCATGTAGTCGCGCCACTAAGTCCTCCATGATCTCTGGCTCTGACTTATAGACTTGTTCCTTCAGATAGCCCCAAAGGAAGAAGTCTAGCGGCGTCAAATCAGGGGAACTAATGAGGATAGAAATCCATCACTTTCCGGTACAATTTTTTTTCTCGAGTAGTCTTACCGTGTTGGCCAGTGGAGCGGGCTATAGCGACCGAACCAACGTCTAGGAAACTGCTGATTCAGGTAAGCAGTAACTTCTCGAGCACGGTGAAGTGGTGCTCCATCCTGCTGGAACCAGCGAGGTCTACCGGCAACAGGTACATCATCCAGCAATTCCGAAAGCGTCTGGCTGATAAATGCGAGGTACTGTTGGCTCTGAAAAGAGCACAAATGGAAATTAACNCTTTTTGCTCTCAGTTCGCACGGATTAGGGAAAATTGGACATTTCGAGGGAGTGGAAGCCGACCCCGCACTTATCGGGGAGGTCAAAATTCTCATACAATGAGGGGAGAGGGTTGAGGAATGATTCTGGGCCCAAATCATGTGTCCAAAAGGGGGGTGAGTATNGGGGGTGGAAGCCACCCCCGCAGGTATTGGGTGGGTGGAAATTTTGGCACAATGAAAAAGGGGGTTGTGAAATGAGTCTGAGCTCAAATCATCCCTCCGAAGTCACCCCTATCCATCGACCCACATGAAATCTTCTCACTTTCTCTTGCCTCCAAAATCGTTTGCTATGTCACGTCAAATTTTTGGTGGCCCTGAAAAGGGCCAATTGTGATGGATTTTCA